CTCCAAGGAAATGGCACTGCAGACTTGTTTTGTACTTTTGTGTTCAGTGCACTATTGACCATTTCTGCAGACAGGATCCTGGGGAAGACACACCTTTCATCTGATCCATCAAGCAAATGTCTATGTTGTTCTCTTCACTCAGGGGGTAGCTGGACATGCTTTAGTTGTGGACTTGTGAGACCCCAGGCTAAGTCTGATCACTGTATTGGAGGGTGCATCTACTGCATGTCCATTGGACTTGCTCACCACTGCTACCCTGAGTTTTATGGGAGTGCAACCTACAAGTGCAACCTACACCTTAGGCCAGGTGTTGACCCATATCACTTCTTATCTCCCAGTTGCCTTCCCCACCATCGCTGAGGACGATGATGACAAGATCGTGGGAGGCTACACCTGTGCAGAGCACTCCGTTCCCTATCAGGTGTCCCTGAATTCCGGATATCACTTCTGTGGAGGTTCCCTCATCAGCAGCCAGTGGGTCCTGTCAGCTGCTCACTGCTACAAATCGTGAGTGGAAAAATTGACATTCTTCTACACCTGACTTCTGTCTTCCAGCTCACTTCTAGCAGGAATTCAGAGTTATGAGATACAAAGCGAGAAGTGCCCCTGTTCTGACCTGAGACAGCCAAGGGATGGGTTGCTCGTTCAGGAAGGGTGGCTGAGGCACCTGAAGAGGTTTCTTCCTTCTGCAAATGTTTCTTTGAATGCAGAGCACTTTCTGAAATTACAGTGGAATAATCGAGAAACGAAATTATGGGCTATGATTTCTTGTCAATTGCATGAATCCAGCTAAAGCTTGGGCACTGCAGAGCAGGAAGAGGAATGAGGTCAGGGTGAGGGAGGTTTGCCTTTTTGCAGAATGTTTGCTTAAATGGCTGCAATATATTCAACTGCCATGTATATATAACCCTGCAGAAATCCACCACCTCTCCTGGGAGTGGGTAAAGATCTCAGTGTGGATCCCCAGGGCTTATGCAGGACAAGAAAGGTGACCCACCCAAAAGAGCTGCTGGGGCACCGGTGTTGCTGCAAGTGCATAGAGTGACAGGGAGGTTTCCCTGAAGCTGTCCAAGGGTTGCAGTAAAGTACATGTCTTGCCTTCTCTTTTGCAGTCGCATCCAAGTGCAGCTCGGGAAACATAACCTGGCCCTGACAGAATCCACACAGCAGTTTATTAACTCGGCTAAAGTCATCCGCCACTCTGGCTACAGCTCCTATACCCTGGACAATGACATCATGCTCATCAA